CTCCATTGGGTAGCAATCGATCTTGTTGAAACAAAACCAGATGTAAACGATCCAACAATTTGATTTTCTTGCTATTATTAATGGTTTGCTGACGTTTTCTGAATCCTTCGTTTTAAGAATCGGTCGGCCACTCTGAGAGGATGTGTTTGCTAATAGTCACACTGCTATCTTGAGCTGGAACAAGGGTCCTGCTGGCAGCCTTTCCGGACACCTCCAGATCTTCTAATCCCACTTCGTCCATTTGTCCTGCAGTATCTTTTTCCCATAGACTACAAGCTCTCATCTGTGTCATTAAAGTTCTGGGTTTGTAAGACAGTAAAATCTCCAGTTAATTTAATAAGCTTTGTAAGGGTAATTATCGATCCCCGGAGTTGGTATTTTTCTATTCAGACTGAGGTCAATTTCCGTAATCAAGGAATGTAAGATATTATTCACCGGAGCTGTTTTAGCAGGATCTCCAGCCAGAACACTCCCATCGATATCACTTTGGGTAAATTGACAGACCATTTGAAGAGAAGTTTGGGATAAATCCAGATATTGATTTCCTTGTCCTTTAATGTCAAATTCAATGGGAGCGGTCTCAAAGTCTAAAGTATTGGGAATAGGGTAATATTTTTCCCATTTTGACTATTCTAAAGCAATATTGGTGAGAGAGACTTGGAACAGTTGTAAATTGTTCATCCCACAGGCACAGGAATAGGACTGTAACATGATGTGTTTACCAAGACTGAGTTTTCACAAAGAACGTCTTTGGGATTCGACTGTCCTATTTAAACTCTCTCAGTCAAACACATCTAAAGGACATTTTTTCTTGGGAAATCTCCCTCCTTGTTTTTTTCTTTTTCTCTAAGGACCCCCTCTGGTTGACAGTAATCTCCCTCTCCCTGTCTGCTTTCTTCTTTTTCTTTTTCTTCCTTTACCTTTTTGCCCTTTCTTCTTCTTTCTAAAGGGTAAAGATGCCCCTCGATTGAGAGCAAACAGGCCTGTTTTTGGCGGCATTCACTCCATTGGTTAAAAGAGCATTTTTGATGTGTTTTTTTTCTTTTTCCTCATTACATCCCTGTCTATCTTAACTCCGGCAATTAAGGCTGTTTTACGCCTGTGCTTAAGTACATTGTTCTGTCGCTTTATGACGCCTTGGTCACTGGAGAGATAGTTAACCCAACACGTTAATTGACAACAACAACTCTGGTAACTGTTGTATGAATGTGTAATGTATGATTATGGTAAAAGACTGAAATATAAACAAAGATACAATGAAACACTTGAATTTCATACAACAAAAACTTACATTCATATTAAACTGATATTTCATATAGTTGAAAGAAATTACTATGGATAATAGCAACAATGTAAAAAGGACTTATGACACTAAATGGCTTCCATAGAAATAAAATTTTGCAGCATGTTTAGAGAACCAACGGTTTCCCGCTAGCGTGTCCATGCACTCCTCGATGAGTGGCAGAGGGTACGTGTCTTTGACTGTCACCTTATTCAGGGCTCTATAATCCATGCACCAACGGAAGCTGCCATCCTTCTTCCTGACCAGAACTGGGGCAGACGCCCAGTCTGAGGAAGACGGCTGGATGACTCCGGCTTTTAACATCTTATCGAGATGACCCTCTTCCTCCCCTTGAAATACAGCGGGAGTGCTTCGTATCCACTGTTTGACTGGAGACGCGTTACCAGTGTCGATTCGGAGAAGTTTCCGAGATCAAGGTCATCTACAGCAAAGACGTCGGCAAATTCTTTGACTAGCTCCGTAGCCTGAGATTTGACTTCCACAGGCACGGTCTTGCCTAACTGTTCTAAGAGTAGGGCGATATGATCATAGTTATTTCCCCGTCAGCAGATACACGACGCACTGTGGGCTCGGTATTGTTGACTACAGCGACGGGGACGGCTTTCCCCACCTTGGTGCCAGTTTTAACAATATGACTCCGGTCGGTCAGGTTCAGGATACACAGTTTGGCTTCATTTCCTGCAGCGTTGTATGTCCGCGAGGCTACTTTACCAGGCGGAAATATGTAAGCTGGTTCCAGCATAAACTCTGGCATCTCGGAACTAAGGGTGCACTCGATAACTTGGGCGGTGTGCGGGGGAACCCGCACTCTGCGGACTGAAACTGCATCGAGTACTGGCACTGTCTCATCAGCACTGACAGCGAAAGTAGTATCAATGCCCTTGACCCTTAAAGTACCGGCTTCACAGGAAACTTCTGCGCCATGCGTACGTAGGAAATCTATCCCTAATAACATATCATCTTGCAAAGGACCAACATAGATCGGGTGTATAAAAACGTAGTCCCCGATGCGAAAACTCATATGTCCGAGGTCCTGAGCGGTCATACCAGCCCCCTCGCCAGCTAGCCTAACATTGGTGTCGCGAACACTTTGGGCTGCGGCCTCAAGGACTTATAAACCTCACTCGAGAAAATGGTTATGTTGGCTGCCGTATCTATAGTCGCTTTAATTTGCTGGCCTCGTATGCATATAGAGATGCGCCACGCACCTCAGCCTGTGCTTTGACTACCTGACCTTACTGAGGGAATAACATAAGTGGCCTTGGTGGTTGGAGTATCAGCAAAGGTCACCCAATTAGCACTAGTCGAGCGCTCCCTACACTTAGTCTCGGCAGAATTTTTCAGACACGAGCACAGGGACTCTGGGTTGCTCCTACGCGGACAATTCCGCTTATATGTCTCGGTTCTTTGCATTCATAACAAACTACTATCCCTGTAGCCTTAGAGCGCCCTTGACTCGCTGATTCCCCCTCATATATTGATGTGTTGGGCTACGGCCCCTACTGCTCTCCCTACAGTCGCAAATGGAACCAATCTTCCGCTCCACTGACTTATCTCGGCTCCCAGAGTCCGAGAGCTTACGTCGGCGAGCAGGCGGCGAGCGAGAATCTCTCCGACCTTCAGGGTCACGCTCTAAGGAGACGGACCTTACAGCACGTGGACGACGAACCACTGCTCGGCGGCTTAACTGGTCAGTTTTTACCCTTTTTATTGCCTCCGCCAGAGTACATGGGGAATTGTTGATCAACTGTTGACCCGCCTCACCATCAATGCAGCCAAGAGCAAATCTAACAATGAGCTGCTCGTGGAAAATTTCTGGTGAAGTTCCTCCACCAAAGGCCTTCTGAGCAGTGTCCATGACTCTATTTGCCCATTGTTCCATTGTTTCTTCTGGTTTTTGAGCTATCGAGCTAAATTCCAGCTGCCAGGCTGCCCTTAAGGAACCTTTTCCGAACCACTCCTTCATTCGCAGTACAACTTCTCGGAAACTCAACAGGGCCCCCCTGCGACGCAAAATATCAAAGTACTTGAGTGCTGCCCCCTCCAATGTCAAACTTAGGGCAAACAAACGATCGGGGTCAACCCACTGGTGGTATTCAGCGATTGTAGAGAACTTTGAATAGAATGGTCCCCACTCTACATCCCAATTGTACTTCATCCACTTTATTTCAGCTGGAATATTCCTGCATACGCTTCTGCGAGTACCAGGAGGTATTAAACTCGGAAATTGGGATGTATCTGCAGTAGTCATTAATGTGTGACCTTGAGGTACCCAAGACCAACCCCCTACTCCAGGTGCAAATGGCGGTGCCCCCCCCCCCTAGTACCGCCGACTGCCTTACCAACCCACCACAGGAGCCAGGGCCCTGACTACCCAAGTTAGACGCACTAGAAGACACAGATGCAGTTGGTGCCGTCACTGGCACACCCATACCCCCAGCAACATGACCTGTAACGGATGGGCCCATGCTGGGATGTACAGGGTACCCCCTATTCTTAGTGTTTCCAGATAAGAACGAGCCAAATGCAATAGTACTCGGCAAGCCTGAGCCAAGACTACTGTAGTCTACTGAAGAAAGTGGCTGACCTTGCGATTCGGAAACAGACGTGACCTTAGGGTTATGGTTAGGAACAGATTCGGTAGTAGGTAAGCTAGCGAGGGGCTGCTCAACGGGAGGGCACGGCACTGGTAACGAACTAGGACCCCAGGGACGCACCTGGCTACTAGTCGTTACAGACGGACTGGCAGTGACCTTGAGCTCCTGTGGTTCAGTTACTGACTGCGGTTTGTCTGATTTCATCATTCCCGCAAGCATTTGGGTTATCTCTCTTAACCGGGTCCCCATGTTTGTTTCCATAGACCCCACCTGAGACGTCATGCATGTCGGTTTTCAGAGTCCCCATCTGAGACGTCATGTTGGCTTCTAGTGAGCCTATATCTCCCCGCAGGGCTCCTACGTCCTGACCAAGGCTGTTTACCCTGCTATTAACTGCACCAAGGTCACCCTGAACTTGGGAAATATTTCCCTGAATCTGACCTATTTCCCCTTGCATTCGGTCAACGACTCCCTCCAGGATAGTCTGTCGTTTCTGGAGCAGGGAATAAAACTGCTGGAAACCGGGCGTTTCCAAAGACCCATCAGCTCCCTGTGTAAGCGACATATCTCCGCCCTCATACTTGGTAACATTATCCGGGGCACCCTCCCCCTGGGGCATCGATGTGCTACATACACCCGGAGCAAATCTCACTCTTCCGGGAGGCGGAACTTTCCGCGGACTGCGTTCTCCCGGGGTACTCCCCAGACCCGCTTGGTAATTTCCCCCAACACGAACGTCCCAGTCCCCACTAGGCCTCAAAGCCCCCCTCCCCCTACCAAAGGAACTGAACAAATGGTCCATCTCGCCCGGTATCCTCAAAACGGCAAAAATACAAGCTTACATGAATTAAGCGGTTAATCCGCTAAACAAGAACGCAAGTATAAACGTATATACAAAATAAAATAAATACTGCTACCTTAAATCTCGGAAAAATATCCAAGATGGCGACGGGCACTAACACGTGCAGGTAAGGTTATACCCCGCAGTCAGACTAAAATACCCTAGTACGCCGCGCCAATATAGCGTTTCTCTATAATATCTACTATTGACGGTGATGGCGGAATAGAGACAACACTATGATAACATGATACGCTATTTATTAGTGCCCGCAGTTAAAATATACAATACACAATAATGACGGAGCTAACAGAGACACGTCCGTTCTCTGCAGCATGTAACAGAAAAGAGAGCGAGGATAGGTATACGTCACGACAGGTGCTGTGACGTATGCCATGTGATCGGAGGTAGCAGGGCAATTCGTGTCCAGTACCTCCAGGCCCACCACGTTATTATTATATTTTCCTATATAATTATACCAAAAATAATTATCTCATCCAAACTTATGGAGAGACGTAGGGTACCCCCACATTATTATTATTTTTTCCTATATAATTGTATTAAAAATAATTATCTCATCCAAACCTGCTTTTTACAACATTATTATTATTTTCCTGCAACAATTATAATGTTGTCTGTTAAATGTGTACACATTATCATTATTTTGTCCTACAATTCTAATGATTCAAACTTTACAATAATAATCTTGCCAATCAATGTGGACATATTATTATAATTTTTCGCCTCATGATTATAATCTTGTCGCTCGATGTTTAAAAACATTATTTTTAGTTCACTTCAAAATAATAATAATTTATTCTTACTTAACAATTATAATCGTCGTGTTTGCCCATGCGAACACATTATTTTATTTCGCTTCAAATTTATAACAATTATATTCCTCTATGGAATGTTGTAAAAAGCAAGTTTGGATGAGATAATTATTTTTGGTATAATTATGTAGGAAAAAATAATAGTAATACATGTATGGGGTTACCCTACGGCTTTCCATAATATAGCTAAACAGAATGAAACATATGGAGATAACGAACAGTATTCAAGATCAAATGTCCATAAAACAATACAAAAATAAAAGTAGAGCAAACACGGACCTCCAAAACGTCACAGGTGGGATCAGGTGCCATGGAGGAGTGAGAATCCCATGCTGACCGTCACACCTACCGTAACACCCGCCTTGTGCTCCTTATCATGATCGGGAAATAATGGAAAAATCCGTCGTCAATTCAGTGTATAAATAATGGACTAACAATTAGTATAAAAAACGTCAGTTAACATTTGACTCAATGATAAATTGTATTTGCTGACAACGTCAATGTATCGACAGTATAACTTACGAAATGATGACTTTAAACGAGACTGACGATATTTTTGTTTCAACTTGTTTGTCAATAATTTACATCGTTGTAGAAATTGTTCTTACGTAGAGCATGCTCTTGTGTATTGGATCAACTGAGATACATAAACTCTGTATGCCAGTGATGACGGTATATTGCTGCATAAGTAAGGGAAGTTAACGATAGGAAATTAAAGTAATCAAGTTTATCAAAGAGTGTGTTTGTGAGATTACGATTAACTCCTTTTTCAAGTAAAATATCCAAATATGAAACAGAGTGTCAGACTCTGTTGTATCTTTTATGATTTTTACATGATTCTGTAAAAAAAAAACCGGTCATCTGTATAAGTATATTACGGTCATCATCTATTCTCTGGAGTGTATTGGTTACGGTCATCATACTGCAACATTTCAAAGGCTTTTATCTTTCATTTTCGTTTGCTTGGATAAACAACAACTAAACTGGGGTGGACATAACATCGATGTTCGGTTCATAAATATCTTCAGTTACCCAGTTTTCTTGAATAATGTTTTTAATCGCCGTCGAAAAAATTCAACCGATCGGCTAGGCCGATATGTTTTGATGACCGTAAACTATGTATACGGTGATCGGATTTCCTAATGTGTTTCATGTTTAAGGATGTAAATATACAAGAAATACTAGTTGTTCTTTTTAATATAAGAAAATCATTTGTAGTAATTTGAAATGTAAATCTACCTGAAATTCATAGTTAAGATACTTTGATTTGACTAAAGTGAAAACTTTGATTTACTATAGTTAACTATAGTAAAGTATAGTTAACTATAGTATTTTTTACGGAATGAACCACTGTCTACACTATTTTTCGTAAAATTTTATTCCAATGCTAAATGAATTACTTAGTGAAAATTACAATTGAGGAAAATCAACGTTCATACCCTTCGTATTAATAATACTTGCAGAGATAATATTTGCAGAGACGCATTCATAATAAATGGGTGTGAACCAAAATCTGATCATTTTTCTTTGAATATTTATAAAGTTATAAACACTCTCTACGTTCTCTTGAGAAAAGTCCTTGCATTTTCATGGTCAAAAGACACATTACCTGGAGCCCAGAATGTCGGCTGGGTTATTGGAGTACCATCTATCCACGTCCATTCTCCAGACGAGGATTTGTTTCCTCCAATGAAAAAAGGGCCACCAATTTGTTTTAAGTGTCCTAAAATGAAGAGTTATTGCTTCATTGTTCATTTTTGCTTGAAACAAAAATGCTGCATAATTCAAATTGATTTTATTAACAAATAATGCTTCACTCACTGGAGATACAATTTGCATCAATAATCGACTGTACTTTCGCTAAACCTCCCCCGACTTTTTCACATTGTCTAGCTGCATCTGTCCAGTTCAATTTTTGGTCTTCAAACAAATATGATACTCCGTTTTCTGGACATGACGTCCATGAACAGAACGTTTCGGGAATGTAGAATATTACACCTAAATACAGGCAACCAAAAAAAAAAGATTTCAAATACACGCACAGAAAGAAAATTTAATTAATCGGTGATAAGAATACATACCTATAAAAATGAATTTCGTGTACTGCATTTTAATATTATATGAAGAGACCAGTAACATTTTTAAATAGAATTAAAGTCGATGAAATAAATCGTTGTCTTTAAAACCTTTATGCGGGAAGTAGGATTACGTAAAGCTGCGGAGGTCCACTTGCGGTATTGCTTCCGGAGATAAGCAAACTAGGCTTCAGAATGAAAACTTGTTTATCTTTTGACAGTTTTTTTTTTTCAGCTCATAAAACCAAGGAACTCCTGAATCTGAAGAGCTAAGAAAGTAGACATTTGGTTGAAACTGGGAATAATTCTCACACAAAGAACCAAAAACGGGCACTAAATGACCATTTATATCCTTCCGACTTTCAAGGCTTACATGTACGCAGCAGAAGCCCAAAGTCTTGTATACATGTGTAAAAGGCAAAAATGCGAGGATACCTGAACATATCAAAATGGTTTCTAAAGGCCATATTTTTGTTTTTAAAAAAAATTAATTTAATAGTCCTAACCATAAGAATTTGAATCTACTATAAATCAATGATAGTACAAAAAATATTAATTTTACAAGGCCAAGTCTACTTGTACCCTAGAGATTTTGGCAAATTTTCTTGAATGATTTTCTATAATATTATATATTTTAAGATAGAAATACCAAATGTTTACCAAATCATATTTCTTGGGGGTTCATCTCAAAAGTTGTTGATTTTACTATCGGAACCTATGGGAATTTTTCACACTTTTCCAATTTTTTCTTTTATTTCTGCACCAAGGATTTTCTTTTCAGTCAAATACAAGAAAGGTATCAAAAAAATCACCAAATTGTGAAATTACAAAAAAGTAACCATCTGGTTTGGTCTAGGTTTTATTCCGAAGTTCCCCTCCCAATGCCCAATACCTCTTAATTTCCCATATTGCGGTATATATTTTGTATATATCAGAGCAGATTATTTTGATTTAAAGAATAACCATGTTTAAATTACTGGTATGTTTCTACGGAAACTCATTTAAGACCTATCGAAAAATATTTTTGAATTCGATATAAAAAAAATTGTCGAATTTGTTATAACGAATTTAATTCGTTAAAACGGTTTCTTTGAATTCGTTATAATGAATTAATCTGTAACTACGAAAGCCATGAAGGGACACGTTGATTTTTCAAAAAAGTAAAAATTAATTCGAGATCTCGAATTACACAATCCGTTCCCACGGATTATCAATTCGTTCCCTCGGTTTATAATTCGAGATCTCGAAATACACAATCCGTTCCCACGGATTATCAATTCGTTCCCTCGGTTTATAATTCGAGATCTCGAAATACACAATCCGATCCCACGGATTATTAATTCGTTCCCTCAGTTTATAATTCGAGATCTCGAATTACACAATCCGTTCCCACAGACTACCAATCCGTTATCACAGATTATCAATTCATTCCCTCAAATTACAAAATCCGTTAACCCCAGATTGTAATTCATTATCTCAGTTTAAACAATTCGTTCCCTCGGAACGTAAATCGTTCCCACGAATTTATTAAATTAGGCGTTCTCTCAGATTATCAATCCGTTCTCTCCTCCTAGACAATCCGTTATCTCCTCAGGGATTTTATACGTTTCAGACAATTGGGATTTGGAAACCTTTTTAAGTCATGGCAGAGGGACAAGGGATGGAACATATAGTAAGTAAATTAAATACTTACTGAAGACAAAATATATTTATATATACATGTATTATATGCTAAAGAAAAATATATATATTTATATTATATAAGACATAATGAAGACAAAATATATTTGTATATTTACATTTCCAATGTCTTTGTTGAGTAAAATTAAATGTACTTTATTTCCCCATCAATGTTTTGGCACGGTTTAAAAAA